TTTTATTTTATTATTTTAAAACAAAATATTTTTAGGAGTTAAGTTAAAATCTTAAAACGTATTGAGTTGGATTTGGTTTAAAGTAATTAAACTTTAGTATTGGGTTAAAATTAAGGATAAATCATTGATATAACCTATGATAATAAATTAAATACTTAAATTTAGTTAGATTTAATAATTTATTATTATTTTAAAAATATTTTAGGGGGAATGGGGTACTCGCAAACTAGGAAAATTTTCCTATGAAATTTCATGAGCAGGAAATACCCTTTATCCTCCTTCAGGAACAGGAAAAAAATTTCTTATGAAATTTCATGAGAAGAAAATCGTTTCTATCCGTACTTGACGCCTATTGCAGAAATCTCTTCATAGATTGAGGGAAAATTGTCATCCCTAATAAATTTTTTCATTGGACAAAGAAATTTGAGTTACAAAGTTGATGTTTTATATTTTAAACTGCATTTGACCACAAAATCTAATAATTTAACTTATGTTATATAATCCATTAACTTTTTTTTTTTTTTGAATTATGAAAATTTTATTTTATAATTTAAATTATATTAAATTATAAAATAAAAATTATTACATAAAAAAAATCTCAAATATCATAAAACCTGCATCTAGTAATTAAATTATACAATTTAAACTATTTTATACCGTAAACCACATTATTTATATTTTTCTTTATACTGTTTCCGCCTTCCGGGTAAAATAGTAGTTGGGCTGAATCGGAATTTCCCATTAATGAGCCTTCATGAGCCCATTATGTTTGGTCCGTTACAGTCAAGAAGACCCTAACAAGCATCTAGAAGAAGTTAGCTTCATAGGCCCATGGTACCTCCAATTTGGAAATGGCCGAAGTTTTTAAGCGACAATAAATAAAGGATGGGTTAACTGAAACCATCTCATGGTCCGATGGGCGACCTTCATCCACGGTCGAAATACCGGATAGACGACTGTCGATTTTCCGACCGAGAATACGCCGAGTCCGCCGACGAATGGAGCGGATGGATTGGAGGAGAAAGCTGATGAAATTTCTGAGAATTATGGGGGGGAGAATGGTGAAGAGAAAAGCGAGTCAGATGTGAACGACGAAGCGAAGGAGGAGAAGTGGTAGGAAACCGAAATCTGAGTCGGAGTCTGCGAGTAGCGAGTCAAAGAGTGAGTCCGAGTCGGAACCTGAATCTCATTCCGATGATTCGAGGTCAAGGAAGAAGAGGAAGAGGAAAAGTTCAAGTTCTAAGCGCAGAAGCAGGAAATCATCTTCACATAGTGATAGCGAAAATGATTAGAATGAAAGTGAATCAGATTATGAAGAGGTAGGAAGAAGTCGAGGAAAGGGGAGAGTAGGCGATCCAGGAGTAGTAGGAAAAGCAGCGTAAGGAAAAAAGGAGGAGGAAGAGTAGGTATAGTGACTCTGATGAGAGCGATAATGCTGAAACTGAGGAATCAGATGTTGGAGAAATAAGGGGTTAGAAAATAGATAGTTAGATAATTGGCTTCAATGCTGCTGGAAATGTAATTTTTTTTTAGGTTAATTTTACTTTTATCGGATCTAGTATGCAAAAGCAGTAACCCAAAATATATATAAGACACAATGAAGCACATTGTTGATCTATCCGAAGCACATTGTTGATCTAGCCTTTGCACCAGCAAGAACAACCATTGAACCATCATTTGAAAAGCGACAAAATAATAGTTTTTGTATAGGGATTTTTTGAGCAATTGTAATACAAAAAGGGGCTATTTTATTTAAATATTTGTGAGTTCAAAAAGACTTTTTAAAAGAAGAAAAGATAACTTCATATTTATAGGGCAAGATGTCTGTTGGGAACAGACACTTCTTTTCAATTTTTATCTATTGAAAACTTTTCCAAAAGTCATTTAGTTTGATTTGAATTCTAACTCATGTGTTTCCTTGTCTTCCAAAGTTATCCACTCTCATTAGAAACTTATCAGAATTATATCTTTGATTTTTGATATAAATGGTTTAAACCATAAAAATGTGGTTCGAACCAAAATTGTAACTTTTCGGATTCTGATTTCACATAAATGGTTCTAACCATAATTATATGGTTCGAAGCAAAGGTACTCTTTCTCAAATGCATTTTATGCAATTGCTTTGAATCAACTTTTTGTGATTTGAACCCAAATCCTGAAAATATTTTGAAATTTTTTCAACATTCCCCCACCATTTTCAAAATAGAATAGCCCACCAATTGTTTTGGAAATCTTATGCATACATGAAGGTATCTGACGATTTGAACCTTTCACCTAGTGAACATGTGTTGGCAAATTGGTCAGAATTGCATGGTAGACTAATGTTTTGAACTAGCAATGCTAAGTGACTAATTGGGCACATGTCACACACAAGACTTCAAGCTTTCCAAAGAAAGAATTCAACATCCGCCAACACAAAAACTAGCAATGTGTCCTGTATACTTTTCATGAGTGCTGTTAGAGTCAACTTTCTAACTCCTAGAAGCGGCACCACTTCCACTCATATAGGTAGATCCCATCAAAATTGCCACCACATTAAGCACTTCAATAGAAATCTATTATAGGACCTATTAAGAGTAAAACTCATCCTCCTTTTTATTTCATGTGGTTACCAAGTACTCTTCCACTTGGGATGATATTATTGATAAATTGAGTACTTGCAGTCACATTCATATGATGTACTTTACTCATTGAACTTAAGACTTGAAGTTTTTGTCAAGCATTAAGTTGAAGTTCCATCATGTGTGACTTTTGTCAATATGGACTTGAGACCCATCCCTCTCTTTGTCTTGTGAATTTTCCTTTTGATAATCCTTTTAACCAAGGATTCATGAAGTTAATTCACATAAGACCTTGCAAAGATTATGGTGATCACCTCATTTAAAAATTGATTATTTTCATGTCTATATTTTATGACAAGAAGTCTACTGTCATAAATACTTCTTTGTAAGCACTTGATAACATCCTATTATTTTTAGTCCTCACACACATTCATATAAGAATGTCTTAGAATAATCTAAATTGTTGAAAAGTGTAGACATATCCAAGAACAAGTGCTATCACTTTTAAACAATGCCATATAACTTTGTAAGATCATGAATAAGTGGAATTCTTGCTTCTTCCACTTCAAATTAAATTTTATTTGCTTTTCATGTGTCAAGGACTTTTAGTCCTTATTCCTCACTTTTGGGATTGTTCCCACTATTTTAAATGACATCGATATTTCTCATGAGAGACATATCATGATAAATTCTAATTTATCAAAAATGGTTCAATTCATATAAATAAGATTCGAACCAAGCTCTTGATACTTTCTGAGTTTCTTGTGTAATTGGTTCAAATCAGCTTTAAGTGATTTGAACCAAAAATTCTATAACAACTCAAATCATTAGATTCATTTTCCATGACCAAGAGCTATTCACTCTTGCCGTTTATAAGACTCTTTAAATCCATATTTCTTTATCTTTTGGACCATTTTTTAGGCTTCCAAAAATCAATCAAGTGCACAAGGTTGCACTGGTTTCTACAAATTATCCCATTAAGAGATAACATCTAAACAAGGATTCAAAATCCTTCATGACTTATCAAAACTGAGAGCCTTTTCACTTGGTCTCTCTTCTCTTAGTTTATATTCAAACTAAGATAATCAATTGGATCTCCAAATGGGTTTGCCAAATCCCATTTCAGTATTTCTTTCTTTAACATGGCAAAGTAGCCATCATGAGACTTGATTCTCACTTGTTTCAAATTTACATATATTGATATACAACCTTACAAGCATAAATAAGAGGCATCAAAAGTAACAAGTAGACATATGCTTTAAGCAACCTTCCATTAATGAAACATGATCAGATTTAGCCTTTTATATTTCCACAAGCCTCATATTAAAAACATTAAGCATGTTTAACACATGTACAAAACTCAATGATTTTAACTAAAACTGTCATATACATAAAGATGCTTATAATATAATCCAAGTAAAGGAAATCTCATTGACTTTAATAAGCCTTGAGCAAACCTTAATAAGATCATGTCTAGAAGTAAGATACACTACTTAAACTCTATAAAGCTTCATAAGTATTCACCAAAGAACAGTAAATATTCATTACTAAATGAAGAGAAAAACAAAACTTCATTTGTATCACATTAGTAATCTCAAAATCAAGGCACAATCATGATCTCAAAACATGATCATATTCAAATCCATAAATATCTTCCTTCTCACAGCCAAGAACCATGCTATCAAGTCTAAGATTTATTTAATCTCCTAATGGGATTTAAAGACCCATTTTATTTCTCTTGCCTCATTATGCCAAATGACTTTTAATTATGAATTTTTACACTGTCATTGGCATCTTTGATAACTTCTTTGAAGCCATTCTCCAAGAGATGTTTTCTCCTCATATATAATTAATTAAACATTAACAAGAGAACTATCAGCCATGCATGAACATCGTATGATATAAATGGTGCGTGTCAAAACTCAGAAAAAATTCATGATTTAAGAAACTATAATATTAATTTCTTACTAATTTCAAAATGTATTATTTTATTCTCTCATTTTACTAATTTTCGTACCTGTTTTGATATTGCAGTGAATCTCGATTCATCTCTATTTCATATCCTCTCTAGACTTAGAAATTTCAATTGCTTCCTTCATGAACAAAATCATGTCTCCATTGTTTCATCTTTCATGAAAATAAATTTCCTTTGCTTTATTGTGAAACGTCCAGCAACCATAGCCTCATCTATGATTGATCACCATTTTGATGGTTGATGAATCACCATTTTTGCACACGATTTAACGCTCCAGAAATCCATTTGGTTTTACCACTGTTGCACGCCATATCTCCTTCGCTTCACATGCGTTTTAACGCAAGTTTCTTCTCAATTATCTAGTAAGCCATGATATCAAAAAACTCA